CCTACATTACCACTATTTACAACAATAACCACAATAACATAAAGCCAGGTAAGGAGCTAGGGAGCAGTGAGAGGTGATGATATTTAGACGTGAGTCAGGGACGCCTCTCCAAGGGGCTGCCCACATGTGCAGGAAACGCTGCCAGGTGGTCCCCAAAGCCACCCTCCCTGGTATCTCAAGAGCAAGACTCTGCAGCATGGTTAGAGCCCAGAGCTTGGCCAAAAACAGGCACACATGATTGTTTAACTCATACAGGAAAAGAGCATAAGAAGGTCAGTGAAGAAACAGATAAATGGGCAAACAAATTACAGTATAGTCACAAAATAGAATATTATATAGTCATCAAAAATGGTGGTTTAGAGAGGTTTTTTTTTAACCTGGAAAAACATTGACTCAATAAAATTCAGAGCAACTAACTATATATGCGTATGATCTCATCCAAATTAAAAATTACAATCATGTGTATGTGCACAGAAAGTATACCAGAAGGAACATGAAATCTTAACAGCAAGTGTCTCTAGTTAGTAGACTCACAGGTGAATTTTATTCTCCTTATGCTTTTTTATATTTTTAACAGTTTCTACCTCAAGCATGTATCACTTAGCTTTTTCATTTTACTTTTTTAAATTTTTATTTTATTGCAGTAAGAACAAATGAGATCTACCCTCTTAAACTAAGTGGGCAGTGCAGTATTGTTAATTATAGGTACAATGTTTCATTTTACTGGTAATTTTCATTAAAAAAATATGCGTGCATTAAAAATGACTCAAATAGTGGACAGCTAATCTCCTACAAATGTGCCAAGAACATACGATGGAGAAAAGATAGTCTCTTCAATAAATGGTGCTGGGAAAACTGGACAGCCACATGCAAAAGAATGAAGGTAGATCATTATCTCACACCATATACACAAATAAACTCAAAATGGATCAAAGACTTGAAGATAAGTCCTGAAACCATACAACTCCTGGAAGATAATATAGGCAGTACACTCTTTGACATCAAACTTAAAAGGATCTTTTCGAATACCATGGTTTCTCAGACAAGGGAAACGAAGAAATAAACAAGTGGGACTTCATCAGATTAAAGAATGTCTGCAAGGCAAAACAAACTAGGATCAAAACAAAGAGATAACCCACCAAGTGGGAGAAAATATTTGCAAATCATATATCCAACAAGGGGTTAATCTCCATAATATATAAGGAACTCACACAACTGAATAACAAAAAAAACAAACAGCTTGATCAAAAAATGGGCAGAGGATGTGAACAGACATTTTTCTAAAGAAGATACACAGATGGCCAATAAGCACATGAAAAGATGTTCAACATCACTAAGCATCAGGGAAATGCAAATCAAAACTACACTGATACCACTTTATGCCTGTTAAAATGGCTGTAATCACTAAAACTAAAAATAACAAACATTGGAGAGGGTGTGGAGAGAAGGGAACCCTCATACACTGCTGGTGGGAATGAAAACTGGTGCAGCCACTATGGAAAACAGTATGGAGATTCCTCAAAAAACTAAAAATAGAACTACCATATGACCCAGGTATTCCATTACTGGGTATCTACCCAAACAATTTGAAATCAACAATCCAAAGTAACATATGTACCCCTATGCTCATTGCAGCACTATTCACAATAGGTAAGACATGGAAGCAATTCAAGTACCCATCAACCAATGATTGGATAAAGAAAATGTGGTGTGTACACACACACACACACACACACACACACACACACACACACACACTGGAATACTACTCAGCCAGAAAAAAGATAAAATCATCCCATTTGCAACAACATGGATGGACCTGTAGGGTATTAAGCTAAGCGAAATAAGCCAGACTGGGAAAGACAAACACCATAGGATTTCACTCATTTGTGGAATATAAATAAACACACTGACAAAGAAAACAGTTCAGTAGTTACCAGGGGAAGGGGTATGGGGATGGGCACAGGAGGTGAAGGGGAGCACTTATAAGGGGACAGGCAAGAAATAATGTACCACTGAAATTTCACGATAATGTAAACTATTATGAACTCAATAAGAAACAATCATTCAAATAGCATAGATGTGCATAAGGTGGAAAGTAAAGGCCTTCCCTGCCCTCACTCCCAGTTTCTCTCCTCCAAGTTTTCACACTAACAGCATCTTTCAGTGGGCTTTTCTGCACTCTTAGAGAATTTTTTAATGCAGGTGCAAGCAGATATATTATTATCTCCCCGCTCCCCACCAATGGAATCAGAACATATATAACATTACATAATTTATTCTTTATTTATTTAAAAAGATTTAAATACAGTCCTGTATCAGAACACAAAGAGATACCTCATCCTTTTTTCAACCCCTGGGTAGAACTCTCATTTGATGTTCTATAATTTATCTAAACAGATTGTTTACAACTTTTTTCTATTACAAACAGGGCTGCAAAAGTAATAGCCTGCAGTTCAAAAGCACTGCAGCCAGAATAGTCATTTGATGCTCAGGGCTCTGAGAAGAGAGCAGTTCAGTAGCCGCATGTGGATCCGACTTCGCTGAGGCTAGATACTCCTAGACTGAAAGTGTCTTCACAGATCTGGCTTCTCCACTGGTTTCTAGGTTAAGAGATTATTTCTCAGAGCCCTTCGGCTGAAGAGTCATTTCTGAGATTGACCAGTGTCTGCTGTTGAAAGGAGCAACACACACATGTCCCAGGCTGTGCTCTGTGAGCTTGCACTGGGCACAGGCCCTGTATGTCTCCTCTGAGTCTCTTGATTGCCTCCTTTTTTCCTTTCTCTAAGCTGAAACCACCCACCAGGTTGGCCTCCCCTTTCAGCCTCAAAGTACCACCCTATCAAGTATGGGATCTAGCTTTTTGCATAGCCATTAAAGAGCCAGATGACCCACCCAGAAGGGGAGTCCTGATGGAGTAAACCTTAACCAGTAAGAAATGAGAGATGAGTAGCACTGGGAAGACGATCCCCTTAACATTATCTCTTCTGTGGACTACTCAGAGACCCTGTTCCTCCTTGCAACTCCTCCAGAGAAATCCTGCCTGCTGACTGAAACCACCCAGCCACCTGCTGAGTCTCCTTGCACTGCTTCACAATTTTCCTTGTTTTATTTCTCTTATTACTCTCCCTCAAGTCCTCTGACTTGCACATTCCAAATAAAGTGTCAGCACTTTATCCTTGCCTCAGGCTCTGCATTCTAGAGGGCCTAGGCTAACATATACATTAAAAGGAAAACAAGCTTTTATTTTCTTTTTCTGGGCAGTACCCAAGAATGAGTATTTTTTTTTCCTTCTTTTTAATTGAGGAAACATTTAAATCAAAGAACTGCCCTGTAAGGTGTTTTTAAGGACAAATTCTAGAAATAGAGAAGGTCTTGTGTGTGTGTGTTTTATGTGCGGGTATACATATGAGTGTGAGGCAAACTGTCATACCTCTTTTTCATCACAACAATGTAATAAATAAATAAAACATCATTGTTTAAGCAATAAAAGGATCAATGCTGCAAAAAAAATCCTTGTACAAACATACACGTACCTTTTCTTATGCATACATATGTGTAGTTGTGTACGTATTTAATTTTGTGTACTTTGTGAATTACCTGGAGGATAAATTTCTAAAAGTGAAAGTATTGGGTCAAGGGATATATGTTTGTGTTTGTGTGTGTGTGTGTGTGTGTGTGTGTCTGTGTGAGGAAGATTGGCCCTGAGCTAACATCTGTGCCAATCTTCCTCTATTTTATGTGGAATGCTGCCACAGCATGGCTTGATGAGCAGTGCTAGGTCCTTGCCCAGGATCTGAACCTGTGAACTCAACATCCCCAAAGTGGAGCGCAGGAATTTAACCACTACGCCACCAGGCCAGTCCCAAAATATATGTATTTTTAATAGATATTGCCAAATTGCTCTTCAAATTTTCACATAGTTAACCTTTCACCACAGTGGATACTGTTTCCTCAAATCCCTTGCCAATATAGAGTACTATCAAACTTTTTAATCAGTTGGGTGTTTTTGAAAATTCCTACTGGCATTTTCATTAGGATTTTATTACTGTGTAGATTAATTTAGAATTGGTGCTTTGACAGTTGCTATCTAAGAACAGAGTATGTACATTTTTAACATCTTCAGCAGAATTGTGAGGTTTTCTTCATACAGGACAGGTACATTTTTTTTTGTTGTTGTGAGTTCTGTTGGACTGTAAGGGATCATTCCTCCCATTACACTTTCTAAGTGGTTTGTATTTCTATATATTAATTTTGAAACCAGCTGCAATTCTGAATGTTCTATTGCTTCCAGTAAGTTTTCAGTTGATTCTTTTGGAACAAAACTATATTACCTGCAAATAATGATAATTTTGCCTCCTCTATTCCAAAATAGAGCCTCTCATTTCATCTGTCACTAATTAATTCATTCAACAAATAATTGAGTTTCTACTGTGTGCCAGGCACTAGACTAGGCTATGAATTTAAGATATTTGAGGATTGTTTTCAGAACTGGGTTCATCCTTGTTTTTTTCATTTAATTTTCATGTGAAAATTTATGCTCTTGGGTTTCATTATTAAATGTGATATGGTATTTGCTTTGAAATATACATATTTTTATCAAGTTAAGGATACATTAACCTATACCTATTTTACTACAAGAACTTTTACCAAAAATGATCTTGAATTTTGTCAAATGCCTTTTCAGCATTTATTAGGATGATCACAATATGCTTCTTAATCTATTACTATGGCTGATTATATAATATTAATCCCATTTTATAACTATTTTGGAAATTCTGCAAAGAACCTTTTTCTGTTGAAGTGTGCTGCTATTCACTGATATTTCAAATCCCAGTGAAATGTTAATGTAGTCCTTTATTCTATGTGCTAACATTTTATTCAGGATTTTAGCATATGTGAGACTTGTTTGTAGGGTTTTAAAATGATTTAGATGATAAGAAAAACATGTACTCCCTGAGACTAAAAGGCACATTAATTTTGTATTTTCGTGCCTGCAGAATCCAGAATTGAGAAGGAAACAAGAACAACGGCAGGAGATGCTCCCTTCCTCTGCTTGAAGTCTCGGCTTAACATCGCTCTGTGAGATTATCAGTGGACCTGAAAATGGGAAGAGTCCGTCCTTTGATTTGCCAAAATGTATCACCAAGAACTAACACACAAAGCTTAAAGCTTAACAGCATACGTTTGTAGTCACGTAGACTTGAGTTCAAATTGTGGCTCTGCCATCACTGGCTCCTTGACCTTAGAAAAGCCAATAACCTCTCTGTGGTCTACAAAATGGGGATTACCACTCCACCCACCTTATAGGGCTGTAATGAAGACGAAACACAATAACACGTCACAGTGGTTAACGCAGTACCCGGTATGTTAGACATGTTCAATTAATCCAGCTATTATTATTGAGTAATAGTTCCTTATTGCTACTCTACTGTAGAATCTTCTAAAGTTAAGCTTAAAGAGCTCTCAAATCCATACGCTGTAGGTGCTTCTAAACTGAAAAGTTTATGCCTCCTCCTCAGACCCGCCTTGGTTACCACATCTCAAGCAGCAGGTCACCACTTCAGTAAGGCATTCTGACTCAGAAAGTTTACACATTTAGAGATTATTGTTATCTGCTATGCTCTATTACAGCATTCTTCTCTGTCAGAAATTGAAGCACTTTTGGGCCAACGCTACTCAGAAAGAAGAAAAGTTATTAAAACGAGAAATTTAAAAAACATACACAAGCATTAGTGCCTAAATTAACTGAAAGTACATAATGCCGACAGTGGGCAAGTGATCTGGCAATGGTGGTGGCTGACATCACAGTCATTTTCAGCTAACCAAGCTGTTCTTTAAGGGACTAAGACAAAAATGGAGGCTTTCTGAATTTTCAGACACCTGTCTTTAATTATTGACCTATCTTGTTAGTGAATCCCAAAGATGGCAGTAAAGCTCAGAAACAGTATTTCTTTCTTTCCAGCTGACGCTGATAAGGACCTATCAGAGTGGCCACTTACTTATGGTTTCTAGAAACGCAATTGAAGTTCAAGGTCTGGGCTCCACTGAAGTGACCATTAGCAAAGTTCCAAAAAAGAAAGAATGTGGGGGAGATGGTGGCTGATGAGAGAGATGGTTCTCTCTTTTAATTTCCACTCCCTGAAAGCTCTAGTCTCCACCCATAGCTGCAGCCAACTGTGAAACTGAGACCACCGGGTCATCTGCTTGTATAAATATGGCCATGCAGCTAGTGATTCTGAGCATCCGACCAAATGATGATAAATTCTCTGCAAATCATTTTTAAGTCCTGCTTAGACAGCTGTTTATGTATAGGTATGCTCAAAGGAGTGGCCTCAGGTCAGGTCCAAGTCTTTTATGAAACTCATGGCTCCTGGCACGAGCCCAGATTGCTCATTTCTATCCTGCCTTGCATCAGAATAATCAAATTAGACCTTAAGCTATTAAAATGAAGACAGATGCACTAGAATACTCTAACCAGAATGGGAAAAGTGGTGTAATTTCTCCTCCTGGGCATTTGCTGTATTAATGAAACGTGGCCAAAAGTCCTGTGCTGACCAGACACAGGGCCCCTGTGTCAAGTAAATATATAACAGAGGGAAACAAGGACAACTCCACAGGTGACAAGGGTGCAAAGGGTTTGTTGTTCCAACATAAAAAACACAAAATTTGCTAAGCAAAATTGAAGTGAGAAACTAGGAACATAGACATATATATATACATATTTTTTCATTCCCAAGGTATAAATGCATAAATTGAGTCTTTATAAACTAAAGAAAAAAGACATGAAGGCAGTAAAATAAAACATTAACAGTGAGTTGTGATATGATGGGTAGTTTGGGTTATTTTCTTCAAAACTTAAGTATTTTCTACACTTCAACTTTTCTACAATGAATCTATATTACTTTAACAAATAGGAGCATTTACCCAAAAAAGTGGAATTTTTTTTTTTTAACTAAACAGACTCAACGCAAACAGCTGGAACCAGAGCAGACTTAAAAGCAGAGTTAAACTCAACACTCCTTGCTAAGGAAACCCGATCATGATTCTCAGCCGAGGCCATCTCCAGCATCCTGTCTGGGACCGGGCAGAGGGTTAGCTGAGAGATGCTGGGAAGTCCGCTTTGGCTGGTGGTTCCAACAACACTTCTAGTCCTGAGACAAAAACCAGGAGAGTACAGTTGTTCCTGATTGGTGGTAAGATAACACTCAAATTGAAAACGATGATTCGTCAGCTTTATGGAGAGAACACAGGCTCACACCTCCCAATATGTCTCAGTCTGCAATTAATTGTCAATGTGCCATTAGAAGCCAGCCTCACAGTTATTAAACAAAGCAAAGATGGTGAAAACAAAACAAGTTTATGATCTACAACAAAGAAAAAGAGCCAATAGAATCGGGGACAATACTCCATGTGAAAAAATATTGTCCAACTGGAAGAGAGGAAGCAACTGATTATTATGCAAAAAAAAGAGGCAACTACAAAAAAGAATGGGGAGAGGAGGAAAAGGCACACGGATTGAAACAATCGTGGTCAGAAAGAGCAGGAGCTGATGTCATACTTGGCACTCGCTGAAGTAATACTCATTCCTCTGAGGGATGGTTGAATACGTTAAGGAAAAATAAAAAATATACTATTTGCAACCATACCAGACTTGATCAGGAATGAACTCCAGAGACATCTATGCATGTGGAAGAAGATAGACACCAACCAGTTTGCGTCACAACCTGGCTGTCACGTCCCACTTACCGAAGAACTTACCACTGACGGTTTGAAAGAAAATGCATATTTGTTTTTATCAAATAAACTCAGGAAAATAGTACTAAAAAATCTATGAGTTTCAAAAGAGGTTTGGCTAAGTGCTTACAACGTCCACTGCAGTGTTTGAAGCAGCTGCCCTCCTTAGCAAAGTTGCCTGGGAACTGACCAGCCCAAAGAAGGCCTGGACCACCGTATTTCAGTCAAAGTGTTCAGGAGCAGAAGCAAGAGATAGCCAAACTACGCACATCTCCAGTCTATAAATGCGGACTGCTATAAGTTGAAATATCCTAAATCGTCTTTGCGAGTCTCCTTTTCTTAGCTGTTCATAATCGTGGATTTCCACTCATGCATCTCACGTTATCCCCTTGGAAGGAATTCACTAAAATGTTCATGGTATATTCACTACACTTGGGTGCACACCAAGTCAACATTTATTAGATGTTTCTGAATATGATTATTTCAATAGATATTTTTGGCATTGTTTTTTAATTAAAGAAATTGTTTTTGTATCCTATCCTATTCTAACTGTCCCAGCTTGCCCCTCAAGGAGTGTAATCTCTTCCTTCTTCAGGTCTTGATGGCTTCTGTACCTCTCTTAGGAAATACTCTATTTTACCTTTATTATTGTTTGTGTTTGTATTTATTTCATGCATTAGGCCGAGAACAATTTAAGGCAGGATTTGTCTGTCTCAGCTTTGTATGATCTCTAACACTTTGCAAGTGGTAGGAACTCCGGAAATATGTTTTGAGATTAATTGGATACAATTATTTGGCATAGACGATATGAGTTATGCTGTCCTAGATAACTAGTAAAAAATATCCAAAATTGCATTCATGATATCATTCACATCCATCAATCAAAAGCCTGCTCATTGCCCTGCATTTTTAATGATTAATGCCACCAACAATCTCCCAGATACCTCCCTATCACCTTCATATATTCTTTCCTTCGTTACCCACCTAGTTCTGTTGTTGCCACTTCTACAGCAACTCTTCCCTCTTCTAATTTCTTCTGTCTTGCTATAAGTGCTTTATTTCATAATAGACTCCATGTAAGACCTTCCTAATTTGGCTTACTCCCTTCTGGTGCATCCTTCCCACCACTGCCAAGGTAACCTTCCTAACACATAAGATCTTACTTGTTTTCTTCCTCAAAAACCTCAAAACACTCTCAGTTACCCAAAACCTACATGGCTTTTCCCAAGGCCACTAATCTCATCTCAAGCCAACTCTCGGCCTCATTTCCAGCTAATTAGAGCCACAAGTCCCACACTCTGGCCACATGGGTCATTCACCAGTTCCCAACATCTTATACACTTTCATCGCTTGTCTTTAGGGAACTGCCTAGACAGTTCCCTAAAATTTTAAAAATTCTATATGAAGGTCAGATTTATATAGAATCAAGTTTAACAGAACGAGGTAAATGGGAGGTACCGGAAACTTCTTCAGCTATCAGCAGTCATGCATTTCTTTAGCAATAAGAGTACAAAAGAAGTAAAGCTAGAAGCAGAACCACTCAACATCATCCCAATGATGTATACCTCGTAGGTATCAAACTCCTGGACAGCAAAAAAGTGACTGCACATTTTGATCCTGGAAGGGGAGCAATTTTTGTCTCTTTTGTTTCCTCATCTCCCAGGTGCCTAGAACAATGCCTGCCACATAGTAGAAACTAAATAAAGACCTGTTGAAGGAGGGAAAATATCACGAGGCCTATTCTATATGGAAGAAATTGAAGTGGATGCATTCAATGGGTGCCCACTCTGCACCTGGCAGTGCATGAACACTGGGGACAGCAATAGGCATAAGGAAGCCATGCCCTGCTCCTGAGGAGCTTACAGTCCAGAGAATAAGTGGAGTGGGAAATACTTGATGCTAGGCCTTGGTTCCCTCAACCGTCAAGGGAGAAATTAGACAAAACCCTCTACAGTCTCTGGTCCCTTCTTGTCTTAAACATGCTGTTTACTTTCCCAGATGAAAGTTCCTAGAGGCCCCAGGCTGTGCTCTCCCATCTTTGGATTCCCTATGGTACCTGGTGCGGTACCTTGCAACTAATTGTTGCTTATTACCTTATTTTTTTTAACTGAACTGATTGGGATACAATTGTCTAATTTTTAAAACAGAAATAAAATTAGAGGGCGATAAAGAAGAAAACTTCTCTGGCCATTATCGTAAGAAAAGAGTGTCCTCAATAAATAGATCCTAGACTATGATGGGAGGCAGCACAGAGGAGAAGACACAGAAAACCTTCCACTTTCAGACAAGGACTCCCCACTTTGGGCAAATTGCTTAGCCACCTTAAGCCTCGACTTCCTCAAATACAATAAGAATAATCATACCTACCTCACAGGGTTGAGAGAACCTCATCAGATAACGAATGTGAAATTGCTTTCTAAGTACGAAGAAGATTCACTAACATTAGTTAATATCGTTACCACTGATTCCCATGCGTGGCTGCAGATCCACCCCGCACCTCCACTGCCTTCTTCCCTGACCCTAGTCAACTGGGTAGAGGATGGAAGGATATTTAACTCTTAACTTCCCTACATTTAAACTATTGACTGTCTCACATCTAGAATTTAAAATGTAGCTAAAATCAGGTTTCCCATTTTTGGAAATATTTGTTGATTAACTAATTTGGGAAAAGAATATAAGAAAGTCAAGAAAGTAGGTAAAAATTATGCATACATTTGGTTCATTCCATTTAGAAAGAAATAGGACATACCAAAAAACATAAGGAAATTATTCAAAGAAGGAAAATAAAAGTTCACGAAGATATTCACTGCAATCTTATTTACATCAGTGGAAAACAATGACTTTCTTATCCAGCACTGGAGGAGCATCAAAGGCCCCTACTGTCCTCGAACCTCAGGGTGACTGCCTTTGGGGAAGAAGAAATTATGGAATGGAGGTTCTTGAGCTCACCTTCAGTATTCTGGATTCAGTAGGTTTGGTTCAACAACTAGACATTTGTATTCAGCACCAATGGCCTAAGCAATGGCTGTGGTACAATCATTTAATGGACATTTTAAAAAAGATAATGTCGTGACATGGAAAAACACAATTATAATTGCTTCGGTGATTTGAAAATCTTTAAAAATAGTATAATTATAATTTCCTAGATGACTTTAATGTCTGTATTCATTCAGACCAAGCAATATGTGGATTTGGGATTTTATGAACACTTCAGAAAAAAACCCAGCCAACAGTAGTGGTTTCTGCCCTTCCCATCAAGGCTTCTAATTAGTGTAACTGAGTAAATACTTCCTGGATCTTAGGGGAATAGCTTAGATTTGTCAATAGACAATAGGACAAGACACAGTACAGCAGCATAACCATTAACCTCTGTCACAAAAAAAAACAAAACAACAACTATAGCAACTACTACCACAAATTTAGAACCCAGAAATGTTCACACTGTGACAATTCAGTGTGCAGACATTATAATCACACATATATAACACCATTGTGGCTTTTCCAGAACCATCCGAAAGCTTAAAGAACTTTGACCTTTATCCACCGCTGGTGTTGCTAAATTAAAAGGTTTAGGTATCTTTTAATCCCTTAGCACCTTCAGCTGAAATGCATTCTCTGGTACTATGGATAAGAAGAAATGAACCAAGAAGCTGGCTCATTTATAAAATAGTGATTTTTAATAGTCTTCTGTTTGGAGCCCAATCTTAACAGTTAATCTTGGGTAATAAAGCATTTAATAGATAAGTACTTCTTCCCCGTGCCTCTTCATTTCCCGGGGAGGGCAATCTATGTAAAGCTCACATTTCCCATTGAAATGGGACGTGTTGGATGCTAGAATTGTTCCTAGGTTAAGTCAAACCAATTGTTACTTAAGAGAATCAGGCCAAAGTGGATCTTCCTCTCTATTCTCTAATACCTACCTCTAAGTCCTCCTTTGTCAAGAGCAAACATAGCCACGGAATGCCTTAGATATAGTGGAGCACAGAAATTGCTTTCTTCTCAGAACTGACAAAAAGGAAGAATTTACTCACTAACTCAATTACTTGTGATAACTAGAAACATAATGCAAAGTCCCAGCCATGGTCTGGTCCTCACAATAGGAGCTAAGGATAAAGTCCCACCAAAGATACTATTTACAACAAGGTAGGATGTAGGAATTTGGATGGCGTTAAAAATATATTCCTTCATCCCATACCAGCAACAAAGCTGTAGACAACTGGTCCAGGAACTGATTTTTGATCATTGTTGCAATGGTCAGACCAGGACCTTTAATCTTAGGCCTTACAAGGATCTTTAAAAAGAAGTAAGCTACACTAAAGTATTCCAAAAACAGCAATAAATACAGATAGATAGATTAAAAAAACCTTATTTGATACAAACTTTTTAGCATCTACTATGCTTCTGATTTCATTTGGGCAGAGAATACCCCTGTATTGTTTTGCAGAGTATTAAACTCCTATTCTGGGTATATAGATCTTTCTCTAGTAAACTTGGGTTTCCCTCCTATATTTCCAGGGTCAAAGCCAGTTTCAGCCCAACTCAGGTGAAACTTTAATTCTGGAGAGAGGCATATATCATTCTGACCAGGGTGGACCTGGTGTTCTGTCCCCAGCGATGGCCATTCTTAATCTGAGGCAAGCCCAAAGAGCTGGACTGTCCTAAACTATGTGGAGGGCTGTGGGGGGCCAGGGCCAGGTGTCCAGTGTGGCTCAGACCCCTGAGAACCCACCAGCTCAGCCCTGCAACAGTTCTGGATCTTGTGTCTCCGACTGGCTTCCCTGAGCGTCAGACTAAGTTGAACAATCGGACTTGTCACCCACCATTGTCCCACCAGTTTCTCCCATACCTTTTGTCCTTGGGTCAGCGCACAGTTCCGAGCTTGGGTCAGTATTTGCCTGGCTTCCAGGTGGTTGAAAACCTCATAAATAACAGGACAATGTTGAACACGTGAAGACAATTGTTCTCTAAACGCAACATTCTCAAAGTGGTGAGGGCGCAATTTTGGAGGGTGGGTTTCTATCACTGAGGCATTAGGGAGTCCTAAGGGCTGATCCCTCTGACCATTTTATACAGAAGGGAAAGTATGTGGCACTGGTAGAAAATGTCCCTAAGCTAGAGCTGCTCTGCAGAAGCCAGGGCAGATGGGAGCATCCCATGAGCACACTGAAGAACCCCCATCCTTGTGATTAATCTTACCTGCGCCTCTCACCTCACCTGTGCCTCTCACCTCAGATTAGACAGCTCTTTCGCACATGGTATTCATTTGATCCCACAACAATTAAGGAACATCACGCTGGGCTTACTGCCAAGTTATCTCGTTACAGTAGAGAAAGCACTATCTCTAGAAGGTTCCTACTTCAGCCCCAGAGAAAACTCTTTCTAGATTAAATCCTACTGTGCATTCCCCACTCCCATCCAGACTTTTCCTCATGTGCCTTTTTATATATAATATATTCCAGCAAATCCTAAATGTGTGGGTTCATCGCCGTCTCCTACCCTCATGCCCTCCTTACAAGCAGCCTTCCTGGTGCCACAGACATTAGTGAAAGCTTCATCACAGAAACTTACTCATCCTCCCCCAGGGCTCCCAGTTGTCTAGCCCAGGGCTGTCCAATAGAAATATAACAAGAAAGCCACATACGTAA